GTTAAGTGAAATTGATTTTTAAAAGTTACTTGGAGAAATATTTTGTTGATTATTTTGTTTTTAAAATGTTTATTTAATACATTGTTCTGAATCCACCAGGTAGGGAGAAGGATTTAGATTTAGATTTAGATTTAGATTTAGATTTAGATTTAGATTTAGATTTAGATTTAGATTTAGATGATAGATCTGGACTGCACCACTTTGCTGCCATCTAGTGATTAGCATCCTATGGTTTGCCTAGTAAAATGCTTTCTTTTGACAGCATGACAGCATATTGCCTCCTTCACTTCCTTTAAATCCTTCCTCATAATTTACCACTACCACATGCCTTTGACATAACTCCTCCACCCTCTACTATAAACATGCCAGTATGTGTACTTAAGAGAATTGCATACAGCATTATTTTTTTCTGTTTAAGCTTGCCTGATCTTTGCAATGTGCACAGCAATGGCACTACAGTGATAGATATACACAATGAAAGGATGTTGTCATTTGTAATAGTAGATGATGATGATGATGATGATGATGATGATGATGATGATGGAGAAGGAGGAGTGGTACTACCACACATCTGTGGAAAAATATTTGGATGTCCTTAGACCAGTCACAATCTATTTAAGATTCATTTTAACTGCCATCTGAATCAAGTAGCTGAAAAACAATAGCTTCCCCTGTAAAAATGTATATGCACACAGACTTTCATTTCTGCTTTTATATACATGATTGTGTACTTCTCTTTAATTACTTTAGACTGGAAACACTAACTTAAAGATGGCAGCAAAGGGTTTATGTGTCATTCACTTTTCTCCCCTCTAGTGGTTGTCCAGTTTTCCTGATCAACATTTTTCAATTATTTGTTGAATATTATCAGTGTCAATTTTTTTGAATGTCTTCATTTTCTTGGATAAAATGGCTACTGAGGCTTGGAGTTAATTAAATTTTTTCACCATTAGATTTTTCATCAAACTTTTAATCTTTGTAAAATTACTGACAGATCAAGTCTATCCCAGTGTTTCTCAACCTTGGCAACTTTAAGATGTGTGGACTTCAACTCCCAAAATTCCTCATGCTGGCTGGGGAATTCTGGGAGTTGAAGTCCACACATCTTAAAGTTGCCAAGGTTGAGAAACAGTGGTATGTCCTTATACTAGATTAAAAATAGTGATGCCCAGTATTTAATTAGTTATTGAATTTATATCTGGCTGTAATGTCATGACTTTCTTAACAACTTGTTTTCCAATCTCTTGGCCTATCTTAAAGTGACAATAAAGTTTACCCTAGCTATTTGAATAGTCTTACTGTTCCTAAATTCTACTTCACTTTCTTTGTTCATTCCTTCTGTTCTACCAACTGCTTACTTTCAGAGTGCTTCAATAAGCATTTCCTTTGTCAAATATAGTTTTATTAAGGATTTTGATTACAATAGTAAAAACTAATACAAACTAAACTTAAATAAAGAAAAAAGAATAATAAGAAAGAATAAAAAGTGCAAGGAAAAAAGAAAAAGAAAGAAAAAGAGAAAAGAAAGAATATGATAAAAAAGAAAAGAAATATATACTGGAAAGAAGTGACTTCCAATCTGCACTACAACAAATGTAGACAAATTTAATAACCCTTCACCCCCATAAGGTTACAAACAGATATCTCTTCATCCCATATCCCGTCCCTTATCTATAAGCAAATCCATAAAACTTCAACTTTTCAATCCTGGTGTCAGCAAAAGTCGATAAAGGGTTGCCAGAACTTTGTAAATAAATGTCTCATTTTAACCTTGATCAAATAAACCAACTTTATATTCCTTCCTTTTACTTCTGTCTTAATCTTTAGTTCATTCAAATATTGTTGTGGGATTTGATTTCTCTTCAATTCTTCTTTATCCCATCACACAGACTTCTTCAAGGGTTTAAGAAGCCTCTTTTGTACTGTAGATCCAATAAGAAAACATTTTCCAGGTCATTCTCTCGGTTTGTCATTTGTATTTCCCCTTTAATTTTTAAAACCTCAGCCAGTTTCTTTTGTAGATCCAATAAAGCATCCTTTACCAAATCATTGTCTTGGCCTGTCATTTGTAGTTCCACTTTCAGTACTTTCCCTGTCTTGTCAGACAAAATTTGCTCCACATCTGTCCCTCATTGACATCTTTTGGACATAATCTATCCATAGAGTCAGACATCATTACTGACACTGTTGATATTGTAGCTACTAATTTCTGGCTCCATTCTTCAAAAATCTCTTTTAACATTTTCAGTGTTAGGACATTTTGTGTCATTTTATAAGTCCCCATTAACCATCACCAAAAGCTGGCTTGCATTTTTTTCCCTTTCTCCTTGGAATCTTTAGTCCCATTAAGCAAAGGGAGTTCCTGTGAGGCTGGCAAACTGATGTTTCACTCTCTCTGGATAAAAGAGAGATTCTGAGTTTACCCTTATGCATTCTGGACAGATGGTTTTTTTTGTGGGTTGGCAACAGAAACCTTTTGCAGCCACTTGCAGTCATCCAAGAGTCATGGGTTTCATCATGCTCCGAGCCGTTAATGTAGCCTTTTAAGGACTTAAAGTTTGTCTAAACCTCATCTTTTTAATTACCTTGGAATTTAATTTTTCTTACTGCTTCTTTAAGATTAAAAAACCTTTGGAACTGCAAATTGGGCATTTGCTGGGTGAGAGTCTCCTCAATCTGTTTAAAAAGAAAGAAAATTATGTGTTTCCAGCTTTGTAAGATCTGGGTTACTACAATGTTGTTTTTTGGAAAGTTTTTTAATGCTAAGGATTTGGATGAGGTTGATTTAAAGAAAGACTTTAAAGTTAATTTAAAATATCCTCTTGTGTGGGGGAAAAAATCACATTTATATTTCACCCAGATAACAAAGCTTTGAAAGTTCATCACTAGAGAGCACCCAATGGCTACTTTAAAGGAAACA